AGCAGGCTGAGTTCCACCATCTAGAAACGAAGGTGTTGATGGCAGCAGCACAGCTGATATTTCTCTCCAGGATGGAGTCACAGCCAAACAGGAACAGACCAGATGAAGCTACTATACTATTTTACAAAGAAACAGATTCCTCTGTCTGGCCTCGACTCTTTCGTTTTCTTTCCATCATTAGTTTATCATAAATTCTCTGGCTTCCAATCTTCTTTCTAACTGTACTAACCAGCTTGGGAGAATCTCCTCTAATGATGTTTCTAATTCAGGTTACTTCGCTTCAACAAGACGTACATGAAGAAGTGGCTGATCGCCGGCGAGCGCTACAACGAGCCGCAGCTCATCTCGTTCTACAACAAGCTGGAGATGAAGCAGGCCATGATGCTGGTGGAGAGCGGGAACGCCGCCAAGCTGCCGTCCGTCGCTGCGGCCCAGTGAGTTTTTGTCTTCCATTACGGATCACATAGCAAACAGAACATGGAGCTTCTTTATTTGATTCACCGTTGCTGTTTTTACCTGCAGTCCAATCGAATCTGTCATGAACTTGTGCAGACAGGTTGGGTTTAGTTTGCCAAACAGCATTTATGTCTTTATTCTGTGGAAACGCCGCCGTACTTAGCTAACAGTGGTGATAGGAAAGGAACAACGTCAACAGAACGAAACGTGTATCAGAAGCTGGCATCACCAGACACACAAAACACACGCTCTGGTCCAGGAGAACTTTCAGCGTTTAGGGCTGCAGCTATTCAATAGTTTAATGATTGATTAAAGCAACACTGTGTAACTCCGAGCCACCAGGGGCGCTAGACCTGGAAGTTCCAGATTTAGCGCCCCTGAAGGCCACTAGCAGCACTGCACTGTTGCTAATTCAACCTCTCTGCCTCAGTGTTTTAGAATCAAACCTGTTGGAACCTTAAAAGTCAGAGTTTCTCTTCCCATCCAGGAAGCTTTCTCAATTCAAAATGTCAGAAGTAAACATTAGAACATTAAAACTAAAAAAAGACTAGATTTATGTTTAAATCCAAAGCCAAAAACGTTAGCCACTGGAAGTAGCGTAGGATCCCATTTCCAGTGCAGATCGGGAACAGGCGATTGATAAAACGGAAATGATTTTAAGGCATTTATTTTCTCAGGAAATACATTATTAACATTTAACTCATTATATTTTAGTACGTTAACTATTTTTGGGGACGAGAAAACGACATTTAGCTCTTTTTAAGAAAATAAAATCGATGGCGACCCGGATGTATATCTGGATGCGCAAATGAGCTGATGGCGCAGGACGGATCGTGCTTCCTGGACGGATCGGGTAGAGGCGCTATGTCTCAGATTAAAAACATACTTCGGTACAGGGGCGGATTTAGGAAATTTGGGGCCCTAGGCAAAGACATAGTTTGGCCTAATGGTAAATCCGCCCCTGCTTGGGTACAAAGTTAAAGCAACACTGTAACTTTGTATTCCAGTATTAGTTGAAATTTTATGAGGGATAAGAACTTATAGACATTTTTTAATGGCAAACATG